GTGTTGTCGTCGCAGAAACAAAGTAGTGATACAGAGTCGATATAGACAGCCGGGGGAAGGGACGAGAGGAGGGGGGTTATTGAATGTTAATATTTTAGGAGGGCAGCACCTGGCTTCTTGTTTAGAGGTGTTGAGTCTGAATGAGTGGGTGAAGTTAGTGACCCATCTGTCTGTCTGTCTGCATGATATGTGTGTATGTGGGGGGGGGGGAGCTTAAAGGAGAGATAACACATTTCATTCTCTTTCTCTCTCTGTCAATATCTATGTGTGTGTATTGTTAAACAGTGTAGTGAAAATGTCAGATTTACACACCCACTTATACAAATAACAAATTGACAATCAAAACCACGCACACACACACACACACACACACACACACACACACACACACACACACACACACGACCAGCTGTCAGTTTGAACATCCATGGAGGTCAGGAGTCAATCGGCACCAGGAATTGAGATGGATCTCTCAATCTTTCGGTGGTCGTGAACCTCATACATCTTTCCCTCTCTTGGTGGCTAGAGACGGACAGGCTTTTCCATCTCTCGGGTAAATACGTTCCACTATCTCTCAGAGACAGGAATGAAACACGTCTGTCCATTTCTCAAGAGACAGGAAATATGCCCCTCCATCCCTCAGTAATAAGAGTGAGATACGTCTATCCATATTTCAGTGACTAGAATGATACATCTCTCTATATCTCTCAGGTGGGAAGAGTGAGAAAGATCACTCAATCTGTATAACTAGAGAGCAAGAGTGAAAATTATTGTCTCCGTCTCTCAGTGGCAGAAGTGAGATATATTTCTTAATCTATTTATCTACGTGACCATAGGAATGATACTAATTCTCCTATCTCTTGGAAGATGGCCTAAGACAGGTCTCCCTATCTCTCGGGTACAGTAATAGGAAACATTATATCTATCTCGTGGTTACAGTAACAGTATAGATCCCCCTATCTCTCAGAGGCAGCTGTGAGACTCATCCTAACGTCTCTGTATCTCCTGCCGTGACGTCATCTGCCGCGAGATACCAGCAGGAAACGAACGTAAAATGTTTCCAGGGGATGAGATGATGACTCTCTCTCTCTCTCTCTCTCTCTCTCTCTCTCTCTCTCTCTCTCTCTCTCTCTCTCTCTCTCTCAACGTCCACCATTCCTAAATCCCTTCCTTCTTCTTCTCTGCCTTTCGCCCTCTTCCCTCCACTCCCTCCCTCTGTTTGTCTTTCATCCTATTCCACAGTCCTTCGTCCCTTTCTTATTTCCTCCACTTCCTTACTCTCTCCCTCCCTATTTCTTTTCCTCTACCCCCTCCCATATCTCTTGACTCTCTCTCTTCATTCCCTCCGTCCCTTCTAACTACCACCCTTCCTCTGTCTATTCTCTTTCTCCCTTACTCCTACTTTCTCTCCCTCTTTCCCTCCCTTCTTCTTTCCCTTTCTCCTCCCTCCCATTACTCTCTATTTCACTTCTCCCCTCCCTCATCAATCTCTCCCTCCCTCCCTCCCTCCTACTCCCTCCCTCTCTCCCTCTCTCCTCTACTCCCTCCCTCTACTCCCCCTCTCCTCTACTCCCCCCTCCCTCTACTCCCTCCTCTCTCCCCCCCCCTCCCTCTACTCCCCTCTCTCCCTCTACTCCCTCCCTCCCTCTACTCCCTCTACTCCCTCTCTCCCTCTCTCCCTCTACTCCCTCCCTACATAGTCTCATCACCAAACACTTTCACTCGTTTCTTTGATGTAAAATGATTTTCCAATTTCATACTGGCTCTCCCTTCGGTCTGGGAGGGAAAAACGTGCTATACTCTCACTACTGCATTCACTCTCACCTTCCCCTCCCTCACTCTCTTCCTATCTCTCTCTCTCTCTCTCTCCCTCTCGTTCTCTTTCAATATTATCAATTTTTTTCAGCGTTCCAAACAGTTTTTTTGCTATATATTCTCTCTCTTTCTTTCTCTCGTACGTAGTGAGAGAGAGAGAGAGAGAGAGAGAGAGAGAGAGAGAGAGAGAGAGAGAGATTCACTAAACAGCTCAGTACTTGCAAGGATTCCCTCCACAGTGCATCAAAAGGGCCGACAGTGTGAAAGTACGCATCGTTTTCCAGTGCCACCTCTCACACACTCTCACTCTAACTCTCTCACACACTCACTCCCTCTCACTCACTAGCTCACATTCGCTCTTAATCCCTCTCTCTCTCACTCAGTCACCCCCTCTCACTCTCTCTCTCTAACTCGCTCTCAATCCCTTTCTATTTCTTGAGGTTTATTTTCACTTAACCTACATACTCTTAGTTCCCTCTCAATTACAAGGTCACACTCACGTCCCAAGGTACTTCCCCCTCTCACTCCCCTCTCACAAATATGGTCACGTTCGCTCTCTGTCTCCCATTCCTACCGCTTTCACCCTGCTTTCTTTTTCTCCCTTACTTTCATTCTTCCTCACGTACGGAAATTAGCAGAGAAAAGACATGAAAGAGATGAGAAGAGACTTATACAATTACACACGCACGCACGCACGCACGCACGCACGCACACACACACACACACACACACACACACACGGGTCTACCATCTCCAAGTATTCCTACAACACTAACTACTACAATTACCTCTATAAATCCAGTTTGTTATACCACCAATAACTACTACCATCAACAACTATTACTACCACCAACAACCTGCAATGATGTACAGTAAGCTTACGACACAACAAAAGACACTCTTAATCAATTATGTCTGCTAGTTTGAGCTTACGACACACCACGGTTAAATATACAGCCTTTAATAGCGAGCGTTTAGTAATTTTCAAAGTCATTTATTACCGCGAAAGTCATGGCAAAGCTAAAATTAAGTTCAATGTACAGTTAGAATCACACTCCCGGCTCAGCTAAAGGAGAACTGACATGACGGATGGATGTATTTTAACAGTGCGGTTTTATAAGTTGGTATGGAATCTAGAGCTAATTTCATAACCTATCACTGAGCAGCTAACACCGACAGAGGCAAAGTTAACAGCAAAAATTGGGGAAAGTTCATAGCAAAACCGCAAATCAACTAAATTTACACCTTCCTTCCTTCCTTCCTTCCTTCCTTCCCCATCACAGCTAAAGGACAACCAAAACCACAGCTACAATAAATAAATAAATAAATAAATAAACCCAAATAAAAATAAAACACCACATCTCAAGGACATTATTTAAATTAATGTCGAAAATAAACACAAACAAGTAATAATATAAAACCCAAAAGGACTCAAACTTCCCCCCAACCTCTTATGTTTGCGTTACAGTATTTGATCAAACAACTGACCACTAAACAAAATGGAGTGAAGCCCACGGGAAGGTGTTGAGTGAGACAGTTATGTGGATTCGTCAGTTCATGTCTACTGCAATTTCCTTTTGAGGTTGAGAGAGAGAGGGGGAGGGGGGAGGAGGGGGAGGAGGGGAAGACGAGAGGGAGAGGAAGGGAGAGAGTAGAGCGATGAAAACAGAGAGAGAGAGAGAGGGGGGAGGAGAAACAGGGAGAGAGAGGAAGAGATGTAGAGGAAAGGAGAGAATGATGGTGAAATAGAAAAACAGAAGAAAACAGATGATAAAGGAGATTAAATCTCTCGATCTCACCTTACTTTTAACTCTCTCTCTCTCTCTCTCCAACGAAACAAAAATGACTACACACAAACGGGTTAAAAATGACGTAAAGAGTTCGTGTAGTAAGCCCCCCCCCCTCTCTCTCTCTCTCTCTCTGAGAGACACCAAGAGATATAACGGTACAGGTGTGAGACATGTAAGAGATAGGTGTGAGAAACTGAGATTCCCAAGGAAGTGAGATACACCTGAGTGATACCTCTGTGAAAAGAAAATGATACAGGTGAGAGACAGGTGAGAGAACGGTAAGAGACAGGTGAGAGACAGTCAGAGAGAGATAGCAGAGGTAGCAGCTAGCAGGGGGTTGCCCGGTACAGGTAGCGTGTCCATAAACAGTAGCGCGGGGCACCAGCGACTACGCTACGTTGCGGCCGCCTGCCTGCCACGCCCCTGCCTCTACCATCTGCCGCTACACCCACACGCCTCCTCCTACTCTTCCTCTCATCACGCCATCCTCCCACGCCCGCCACCACACACACCCGTCACCTAACCCTCGACTCCCTCTCACTCACTTCAAAAATAACAAGAGAAAACTGGAACACATTTAGAATTTAGATTTAGAGGGAGGGAGAACTGGTCGGGCATAATAGGCTAGCAGGCATCGCCAGCCGTGTATTGATCTTAGGGGCAAGTTGCCGGGTGTCGCTGGTGGCTACAACTGCGGCAGACGTGGGGGCTGTCTTATGCCCACCACACACCACATGATGCTCCTACTCCTACAATTAAGCCCAAATTTACTTTTTATATATAAAATAGACTTATCATAACATAGATTAAAAAAAGGTGAAGTTGTTATTGACTGTGAAGTACTGTGTGTGTGTGGTCCAGGTGTTGGGGGAATATTTACCTCTGGATTTTCTTACGAGGGAAACACTCACACTAATGAAGTCGTGTTTACTAAGGAAATATTGACCTGGAAGGCAAAATGGTTGACAAGGTGTGACCGGTGTGGTGGTCAGTATGGGGTAGCGAGCGCACCGCATGGCCGGGAGCCAATCACCCATCATGCACACTCGCGCTCCACTCCACTTCGTTTTTTATCATAATTTAACAAAATGAGATACTTCCCTCAACCACAGCAGGGCCGGGCAGCAGTGGCCGCTGCACAACGCTATATATACAGCATCTCCACCGACGCTACGTCAGTGTATCGTAGGTTAATGGTTAATGGAGAGAGGGGATGTGTGTGTGTGTGTGTAAATCACTCGTGTACAGGGCCACTTCAACCCACACCTTTACTTGCACCTACGTCTTCGATTCACCGCGAACACAGGAGGGGACTGTGGGCGTGCACACACGTCAAGGTAAGAGGGGAAGGGGACTGAGGGGGTAGTAGTAGGCGTAGACACCACCCACACTCACCTGACACCAGCAGTAGCAGCGCCCACATCACGCCCATCTCTTGCGATTTCATATTTTGGACTGTCACTTGAAGCCCCATGCGATAGGGACCATTTTTCAATAAACTGTCACTGCACCAATACTCCTCCCCTACACTGTACCATTGGTTCCACTACACTGTAACCCAAGGTTTATAAGGATAGTAGTGAGGGGTTGTCTACACCGATGGCCACTGTACCAGGGATGTTGTTTCACTGTACACTGTAATATATGGTCACTGTAAACACCGAGTTGGTCACTAAACAACACACGCTCATCGCACTCCACTCTGTCCCCTCTTACTCCATGACGGGTGAGAGGTAAGAGGTCAGGAGGTGTGTGGAGGGAGAGGCGCGGTCTCCACACCGGGGAGAGGCCACAGAGGGCGTGGAGGACGCGCGTGAGGAGCAAGGCGTGGAGGCGTGTGGGTGTTCCGTGCGTCAGGGCGCGCTGGTTCCCCCATACTGTCGCTCACTCGCTCGAGCTCTCCCCCACGCCCCCCGCGCACGCGCGCACCTCTCCTCCTCCACACTGCGCCCTCTCCACCTGTCCTCCTCCTCCTCCTCCACCACCAATGCGCCTATCCCACCTGCCTCCCTCCTCTTTTTCCTCCACCACTGCGCCCTCCCTACCTCTCGCCCTTCTCTAATACTGCGCCCTCTCCAATCACTTTCGTCCTCCTCATCTTACGCTTCCACCATAGCGCTCCCTGTCTATCCCCCTCCTTCAACAATTGCGCCCTATCCACCTACTCTCCTCCTCCTCCTCCTCCATAGCACTCCCCCACCTCTCTTCGAACTCCAACTTCTCATCCACTGACCACTCTCCAAGTAACCACCTTCTCCTCCAATGTGCGATCCACTCCAACCTCCCTCTTCAACCACTGCGCCCTCGTCATACCCCCGCCAACTCCCTCTTCATCCTGCGAATATCAAACTTACAATCCCAACGTTCACCAAAATTATATATATCACTGCGCACGTCGAAATTACCACAACTTTCTCGCGCCAAATTTACAAATATTGCGTCACCAAAATTTACTACATTTAGTGCGCCCGCCAAAATTATTCACAGCGCGCTAGCTGGTGATGACGTGAGCCAGACACACGAGTACATAAAACACCTTGGAATTGAATCATACATTCCACAGCTTGAGTACAGATTAACACATGATCAGAGAGAATCCTTATATGTGTACGTCCCCTTGTCCACCCGAACGTTAAAAACAAAACAAAAACAAAACACTATAAAACACAGTATCTCACGGTTCGAGCTAGTTTAAAAACCCTTCTCGAGCCAGTTTCGACTCATCTAAACCATATAAACATTGAAACTCCAGTAAGAACCCTAAACCTGAGCTGAAATGATGTAACATCGTTCATATGGTTTCCTGCGAAGGGGGTGAGGGGAAGGAGAGAGATAAGGAGATAAAGAAGAAGGAGGGAGAAAGAAGAAGTAAAGGATTGGGATAGGAGGGAGAGACGGAAGTAGAGGGTAGGGGAGATGGGGAAAGAGTGGAGAAAAGAGATGAGAGGGAAAAAGGGGTTCGGGGGAGAGGAGAAAGGGAGAGAAAGAGAAGCAAGGTGAGAGAAGGGAGGGTTGGTGGATAGTAGTAGTAGTAGTAGTAGTAGTAGTAGTAGTAGTAGTAGTAGTAGTAGTAGTAGTAGTAGTAGAAAATAACAGGAGGGATGGTGTGGAAAAAGGCACTGAAGACTCAGGGAGGTGCCGGTCCTTCAGGTCTGGATGCAAACGGTTGGAGAGTCATCCTCAGCACTAACAAATTTGGCCCCGCAGCAAGTGATCTCTGCACGGCCATTGCCGTCCTTGCAAGAAAGCTGGCATCCTCATGCTGCCATCACCTTCATGCTCTGACGGCCTGCCGCCTCATTCCCCTGGATAAGAATCCAGGATGTAGGCCAATAGGAATAGGGGAAGTGCTGAGGCGGATCATCGGAAAATGCATAATGGAGGTGGTAAAGGACGATGTCAGGGCAGCAGCAGGGAACCTGCAAGTTTGTGCTGGCCAACAAGCTGGAGGGGAAGCGGCCATTCACGCCAGGAGAACGATATTTGAGCAACGTGATTGTGAGGCCGTTCTCCTGGTCGACGCTTCAAACGCATTCAACATACTTAACCGCAAGGCCGCACTGCACAACATCAAGATCAGGTGTCCAAGCTTTGCAATGTACGTTGAAAACTCCTATAGGAATCCATCAGACCTCTATATAGTAAACAACAAGGCCCTAAGAGGTGATACCATCTTACAGTCAACCGAGGGAACAACACAGGGGGACCCCGTTGCAATGGCAATGTATGCAATAGGTCTATCAGTGCTCCAACAAGAAATAAAATTTGAAACAACTGGGGTCAAACAAGTGGCGTATGCTGATGACCTTACAGGAGCAGGAAAAGTGGAGGACATCAAAAAGTGGTGGGACTTGGTAACGTCGCGAGGTCCACAAATAGGGTACCACCCAAACGCCAGCAAGTCCTTCCTCATCGTGAAGCAAGAACATTATGAACGGGCAAAGGAGGTTTTTGGCGGAAGTGAGGTCAAAATAACTAAGGACGGCTAAAGACATCTAGGGGCAGTAATTGGCACTGCGGACTTCAAGACCGAGTACGTAGCGGGAAAGGTGAATGAGTGGGTTAGTGAAATCCAAGCTCTGTCTGAGATTGCTAACACAGAGCCACACGCGGCTTTCGCTGCATTCACCCATGGAGTCAAGCATCGTTGGAACTACCTGATGCGTACTATCCCTGATATCGGACCCCTCCTCCACCCTCTGGAAGAAGCTATCAGTGTCAAGTTCATTCCCAAATTAGTGAAACACACTCACTTAACCCCAGCAGAAAGAGCACTTCTTGCACTTCCATCAAGACTGGGAGGGATGGAACTAACCAATCCAGAGGAGATTGCAGCCACCGAACATCAAAATTCACTTAAGCTCACGGCAGCCCTCACGGACCACATTATAGCCCAGAACGCAACAGGGGAGGTCGTGACCAGTGAAGTAAACGAGATTCATAGGTCCATTACAACAGATCGACAGCACTGCCAAAATGATAAGTTGCAGCAACTGTTGCTGCAGGTTCCAGAAAATTTGAAAAAAAAGTAGCTATAGCGCAGGAGGTGGGCGTCTCAAACTGGTTAACTACGTTACCGATAAGGGCAAATGGTTTCAGTCTAAACAAACAAGAATTTACAGATGCCATTGCTCTAAGGTACGGTCGGCCAGTAGAAGGTTTGCCCTCCCAATGCATGTGTGGCTCTTCCTATGACGGCGATCACGGCATGGTGTGCAAGAAAGGGGGCTTCATATGCATGAGGCATGACGAAGTAAGGGGCCTTACAGCAAATATGTTGAAGGAAATCTGCCGGGATGTCATGGTAGAACCGACCCTCCTTCCATTGGTTGGTGAGATCTTCCAACATAGGAATTCAAACACATCTAACGAAAAGCCCGTGTTGACGTCAGTGCTCGAGGATTCTGGACGCGGGGACAGCGAGCTTTCTTCGACATCAGGATTTTTTATCCCATGGCCGCATGTCACCGTAACCTAGCTCTCGATGCTGCACATAGGAGGAACGAGAACGACAAGATAAGGGCATATGGGGAGAGAATCCAAAACGTTGATCAAGGCAGCTTCACTCCTCGAGTGTTCACAACCTCTGGTGGGATGGGACCAAGTGCAAGATGTTTCTACGCCAGACTCGCGGAGGTGATCTCCGAACAGAAGCAGCAGCCCAGAAGTTTCGTTACAGCCTGGATGAGATGTCGACTGTCTTTCTCTCTCCTTCGGTCGGCTTTGCTCTGCCTCAGGGGAACGAGAGTTTCTGCCCCAATTCCGACAACTGCTGCAGATATCGACTATGAGGCTACAGTCACTGAATGCCGCATAGATCTGCTGCTCAACTAATTTAACACAGGTAGGATAGCTACATATGTATTAGGATATTTAATATTAAGGTAATTAAATGGTGGCGAAGGTGTGGCTATTGGGGGAGGCTGGAGGCCACTTAAAAAAAAAAGTAGTAGTAGTAGTAGTAGCAGTAGCAGTAGTAGTAGTATTCCCATTATTATTATCATCATAATTTAAATTAGCAATACATAATAGCTGTTACACTCAACATTAAACAGGACATTCCTCGTCGACAAGATCTTTAGACTGAGGACTGGTGCACCCGCTGGTAAAGACAAGTCTATTAACCATCAATGGAAGTCTCCAGGAGAGTTGGAACAAGAACTGAACCTTGAGGCACTCTGTGTGTGTGTGTGTGTGTCGAAATCATCCAAAACAGCATGAGTATGGAGAATTCGAAGAGAGAGAGAGAGAGAGAGAGATAAAAGAGAACATCCAGGAACTTAACACACTCAAAGACATTGAAAGATGGGAAGCCTGGCCAAGGACACACACACACACACTCTTTACCACAATTCAAAGCAAAACCTTCATAAACAACAACGATAACAAGAAAGGAAGATTTACCAAACTTGTCACGAGTCCCTGCTAAGATTTACGAGCTGAGGGGAGCGAGCGACCGAGACTATGGGGGAATGACTGCAACGGAAATCATAGTGGGAGTCAGAGAGGAGGAAGAGGAAAAGAAAGAGAAGGAAGAGAAGGAAGAGGAAAAGAAAGAGAAGGAAGAGGAGGAAGAGGAAAAGAAAGAGGAGGAAGAGGAGGAAGAGGAAAAGGAAGAGAAGGAGGGGGAGCTGGTGTTAAGTTTCCAAGGTCTTAGTTTATGACAGATTCCGTGACATTATATTTTTAAGAGATGTCTTGGGGAGGGGGGGGGGAGGATGACACTAGGTACAGACAGGTAAACAATTAATGTTATAAATCTGACGAAAACACAAGGGTAAATGAGTGACTTTATGTGTTTCTCTGTCTGTCTGTCAGGTTAGATTAGGTTAGGTTACCTGTTTTCCATTTATTTTACCTCCTTTCTCTTGCTATCCTCATCTTCATCAAATTCCCTTTATTCTATCTTCATTCTCCCTCAATCCTCAACTTTATCAACGTCCTCTTATTCTATTTCCTGTTCGCTCGTTCCTTCACACAATCAACATCTTTATCCCTCAGTATCTCACCTCTCCAATACGTGTTCAAGACTCAGGATAATTTTACCAGAACCCACAATCTCCCTGTTATACCGTTACCACATACCCACCTAAATTACTACACTCTCCCCTCCACGGCTGTAATCTTACATTCTTACCTTTCGTAGCTTACCTGAGAGAGAGAGAGAGAGAGAGAGAGAGAGATATATACACGCACCACATCTTGTCTCATCCATCCTTCTTCCTCAGAGATTCGAACTCGTGAACTTTCGAACCAACAAATTTCCCAAGCACTGACTCCCTTATCCCCGAGTAAACTCCCCCCAACCCTTGTTGTTGTGTCAGAATACAAAGCACAAACTCCCACTCTTCCAACCTTCCTTAT